GATCATTCAGGAATTCCTGAACCACCTGAAAGCCACATCAAGAAAAGAAACTAGACATCATATTTCATGAAATTATAAAGGAAAACTATCCAGATATTTTAGAACCAGAGGGTAAAATTGTCACCTCCTGGAAAAGACACCAAAATGAAAACTTCCAGGAATCTTATAGCCCCAATCCAGGCCTCTTAGGTTAGGATCACACAAGATATCACATACTAAAGGGATATAGGACTTAGAATACTATATTCTTCAAAGTAAGTAGGATTGCAACCTAGAACAGCCTACTCAGCAAAATGAATATAATTTTACAGGGTGGGAAATTGAGATTTAGTGAAAGATGACTTTTTTAAAATTTTATTTTTTTCTCAATTATATGTAAAACAATTTTTAACATCTGCTTTTTAAAAAAATTTTGAGTTCAAATTCTTTCTCTTTACTCCCCACTTCTTGACAAGGCAAATAATTTGAGGGAGATTATACCTTTGCAGTCACACAGAATATTTCTATATTAGCCATGCTGCAACAGAAATAATAATAAAGAATAATAAAGAAAATTTTAAAAGTAAAAAAAAAAGAATATCATCTTCGTGACAGCAGGGACTTTATCATTTATATATCTCCAGCACCTAGCATAATAATTAGCATATAGTAAGCCTTTCATAAGTATGGCTTGATTGATTCATTCAAGGATCCATAATTTCTTTGGCATAACGTAATGGATGTTACCATCTCCCTAATCTTGAATTATTTAATGAACAGGTCTCCCACTCTCCCAAATAAAGGAATTTAGCACATTTTCATTCTTTTTGGCCTCTCAAAGGAACCCAGAAAGGAGATTCAGGCTTAATAAACGATGTTTACAATGGAGTCTTTTTTCTTTTTTTTAATTAAAACAGGGAAGCCTACTCTGGGTACACAGGTGAGTGGATTCACAGATGCAGGGGATGACAGCTGAGAATGAATAAATTGAGAAAGTTTAAAAAGAAAAAGTAACCTGAATGAGAAAGAGGATGGGGTACAGAGAGGGTTAAGTTTATCCAGAGGCATTTGCCTCTTCTGAACAAGCTCCCATGCAAAACTGTAAGGCAGGGGTTCTTATCCTCATTTTATGTCATGAACTTCCTTTGGCAATCTGGTAAAGTCTATGGACCCCTTCTCAGAATAATGTTTGCTGCCTACATTCAGAAATGAAGGAAATGCTACATTTCAGTTAAAGGTTAGTGAAAATAAAGATGTCATTTTTTTTCTTATCCAAGTTCATGGATAAAGAAATCTACCCACTCACCTCTTGGGAGAGGGGAGGTCTGTGGAGCCTAGGTTAAAAACTACTTATATAAAGTTACTAAGAAGGAGTTAACCTGAATAGTTAGTTTTTCCCCAAAACACGAAGCACAATAGTAAGCTCACCAATGAGTCTTTCACCATTTCAAGAAATGTTAAATTTCTACATCATTTCTACAAATAGAGCCCTCTGTTCCCTGCCCCTCCCACTTTAGACCATTAGCAGTGACTTATATGTTTGTTTCATGCACCAACTCTTCCTTTTAGCCTTGTCTGAATTTCCAGTGAGCTGTGGAGGCAGTTTGGGGACAATTCCTATTTTTAAAGTCCCTACCACCACCACCACCTTGTGGGTAATGGCCATCAACATCGGACAGGCTCCATTATTTCCAGCGTCTGGCGGATTTCCCTTACAAGGCTCCTTTTGGGTACAGGTAGGAGGCAGAATGCTGTTTGGGTTTGTTTCCTGATCTATGCTGGCAGCGATCCCAGGAACTGCTTAATTCCAGAAGCTGAATGGAAGAAGTCCTTCCCCACAGACTTCTTCACATTACGACTTTCAGATCTGATGGGAGGGAGGAAATGTTTTTTATCTTCAGCATATTTCTGGGCAGAGCAAGCAAGGGAAATACAGAAAGTGGAGCAAAATCAGAATTAGCCAAAACAAAATTAAAATTCCAAATCTTCTTTTGAGTTAGTATTTGCTAACCCAGAAACTTCAGCTGTAGAAACTTACAGTACAGTGGAAAGAGTAATAGCTCTGGGGTCGGACCACTTGAGTCCAAATCCTTTCACCCGCAAAGCCCACTTTCTGTGGGACTTTCGGCAAGTCGCTCAACCTAACCGAGCCTCAATTTCCTCATCTCACAGATGAGTGGATTAGACAAGATGGTCCTAGAGGCCCCTTTTTTCTCTAAATCTATGAACCTCAATCTCACCGTGAGAAGTTAAAAACCGGGGTTCTGAGCTACTCTAATAACATTCTATCTGGTGTCTCTGCCAAACAGGCTCCCTAGTGACATCCTCCATCTACAGGGTTACTGGAAGCATGCACGTATTGCCCTCGCTTTTAAGGCAATAAGTATGTGAGAGAGAACACTTGACTTTCCCCTGTTCTCTGGAGGACAGGATGCTGGTCTCTGCTGAGATCAAAGGTCCGAACCAGATAAACTCTTCACCTACAAGTAAGGGAAATGCCCTCAGGGCTTAGTAAGAACAAAGTTCAGTCTTTCTTCCAAGTCCAATAATTTGATCTTCCCTTTCTATGCCTCAAGTACAGTGCTCACACTTTGAGGAATTAGTGAGCCTGCTACAAACAAACGACACTTTAGTTCCTTCCTCTGAAATTATATGTGTATCTCTCTAGCTATCTATCTTTTTATACGCACATATAGGTATATAAGTATGTTTTCTATTTTTATGTAGTATTATATATACCATGTATGACTCTTCTTAATGAACTTACTTTATTTTGTTTTTTTATTCTGAACTCAACAAAACACCCAATAAAACGAGTAAAAAAAAGTGTAAAAAGGGGACATGAAGTTTCTATTATGTACAGCTTGTTTTTGCTTTTAAGAATATAACCCATTCACTTTCTATCACAAAGTGATGTAACATACCACTTTGAAAGCTGTCCTGCTTCTCTATGTTTCCTCCTGTTCTCTTTTTGGCATCTCTATAGAGCTCACCTCTCTGACTGTGCTCCCAACTGGAAAAATGAGAAAATCAAAAGCCTTGTAACAAACAAACAACACACACACACACACACACACATGCATATATGTATATATATGCACATGCATATATGTATATATATATGCATATATGTGCATATGCACATGCATATGTATGTATATGTATATACACACATATATGTATTGTGTATTTGCATATATATATAATATACATACACATGTAATCAATTAAAATCCATCCCTACATTAGCCACTTCTGAAAATGGATGTCTTATTCTGCATCCTTGACTTGCATGTGAATTGGATTTAAGTGAGGCAGAGTTTCACAAAATCATCAACTTCACTCTTTCTTCCAAAGTCATCCAAGTCTAATGGCAGGAAAAAAATCAAAATGACTAGCATTGACCTGGACCAGGTGGATGACTTTGTCATGTTCAATGTCTGACCAATCTCTAAGTGCCCCACAGCCCCTGCTTCAGCTGCCTTCATGGCCCTTGGAATAGACTGTACTCATCTTCCCAATTCACCTGGGAATGTCTTCACACGCTCAGGGTAGACACTCACCTAACTCACCTACAGGTCTGAGGCCTGTTGGTTACCCTCAGCCTGGTTCTGCCCATCTGCCAAGGTTTTACCAGGATGTGGCTGATGAGGGTGCTGTGGCTTCTTGGAGCCGCAGGTGATAGGTAGATGGGCAGCTCTGAAAAGGGCTCCACAATCCCTCCCACCAGAAGTGGTAGTCCTCCCAGAGTACCCCAGGATATAAAGATAAAAACAAGAAAGTTCCTGCCTTCAAGGAGTTTCCATTTATATCAGAAGAGACAGCATGTTCACAGACAAATAATTACAAAGTCCTAGGGAGGGGCACTTGTAATTGGAGAGGGAGGGTATCAGGGCAGGCTTCATATGGCACCTGAGCTGAGCCCTTTAGGGAGCTAGGAATCTCAAAAAGCAGAGGTGAAGGGGGAGAGTATACACAGTAGATAGTAAGGCAATGGATAGAGAATAGCTGGTAGGTCAGTATAGATGAAAAATAGAATGTATGAGGGGGAGTAATACGAAATCAGCCTGGATAGAGAAGCTGGGGCCAGACTGTGAAGGGTTTTAAATATCAAATGTAGGAGGTTGTATTTTATCCTAGTAGCAAGAGGAAACCATGGAATTTTCTTGAACAAGGAAATCTGTGTTTCAGTGATAATCTCTTCCAGTTTCGTGGAGGCCAGATTAAAGTGGGGTGAGACAGGAAGCCAGGGTATCCGTCAGGAGGCTTCTGTTATTATCATCCAGTTGTTCAGTCACTTTTTAGTTCTGATTCTTCATGATCCTGTTTGGGGTTTTCTTGGCAAAGATACTAGAGTGATTTGCCATTCCTTCATCGGCTCATTTTACAGAGGAGGAAACTGAGGCAGACAGGGTTAAATGATTTGCCCAGGGTCACACAGCTAGGAAGTGTCTGAGGCTAGAGCTGAATTCAAGAAGGTGAGTTTTCTTGACTCGAGGCCCAGCACTCTATCCACTGCACCACAAGATCCCCAATTATCATCCAGGTGAAGTGATTAAAGGTGGGACTTTGGTGGTGATGTGTGTCCAAAAAAGAGCAGGATTGCAAGAGACCTGTAGTAACAGGATCTTAGACTGGACAGCTGATAACTGAGTGGATGGAAATGAGTGAAGATGAGTAAGTGAAGAACCACTGATGACCCCAAGTTTGTAGACTCGGATGACTAGAAGGATGGTAGTGTCTTCTACAGAAACAGGCAAGTTTGGGAAGGTGATGGGTTTTGGAGGATAGTGGGAAGTCTGAGTCTGAGGTGACTATGAGGTAACCCCAGGTAAAGATGACCCAGGTAAAGATTTCCAGCAGGCCACTGGTGATGCCAGACTTGAGTCCGGGAAAGATATGACCTTTGGATATTTGAAAGTCATCTACACAGAGATAAGAGAACGACTTTGAACATTACTGAGAGTGTAGGGAAAAGAGAAGAGGACCCAGGACTGAGCTCTGGGAAATCTAAGTCTGAAAGGAACCTTCGACAGGTAGCAAAACCCAGAGTGTCACAAAAACCCAAAGGAGCAGAGAGTGATCTGGAACAGAAGGGCATTCAGGAGCCCAACACTGTACCAAAAACCAGACTTTTCCCGATTGCCTCAAGCCTTTGGAAAATTCGTGAAGGAAAAAGGTACTGATGTAGCGGAGCCCTCTTTAAAAGTCCCTCAGTACTCCTGAAGATTCGTACTTTCCCTCTGGGATTCCTCCCATTTACACAGCAAACTTCTAAGGTCTTGTGAGTACATGGTTGTCTGCATATCATCTCCCCTTTCATAACGTATGAGCCTAAAGGGCTGGGACCTTGTTTCGTTTTTGCTTTTCTTTGCATCTCCAGGGCTTAGCACAGTGCCTAGCACACAGAAAGCTTCCATTAATGCTTATTGACTGACTGACAGCCTAGAACATACAGATTCCCCAAGGCTCCGGAGAAAATCCCGGTGGCAGCCCCCAAGTCCAGCGGCTGCAGAAGCACTGGGCCGCCTGTCGCGTCCTAGCTAGGACAGGTCCAGCAAGCTGCCTGGGATTTCCCACTGAAAGCCTTCCCGGAAATTCTTTCTTCATCACTTCTCACCCGTGGGTCAATTGCGAAAGGCAGTCCGGCCCTCCCTCTCTCCATAAGAAGCAGGAGGGCAGCGGGGCTCTGGCACTGATCAGCAGAAGCTCCAGTCCCTCCCCTCCTAGGTCTGGCCTAGCCAGCTGCAAACAGCAGCGGCGGCGGCGGCGGAAGTTGCTGCAACAAAGTTACAAACTTGGAAGCCGGGCTTTTCGCAGGTAAGGATGTTAACTGTAGCTGTCTCTGGGCTGCCGCTTCTCCCTGCGTCCCTCACCCTCACCCTCAGTCCAGTCTTGCCTCCTTTTACTAATTTTCCTCTTCTTCTGAGTCCTCCAAGTTCCCGTTTCCATGCACTTCGAGGAAAGGGTTTGCAAAGTTGCTGACCAGGGAATCTGTGCACCTCTACTGGAAACAGTGCGCAGCCAAGCAAATCACATAGTTCACACAGCGCGCACTAGCTCCTTACACCCTGGGTGGAGATGGTTTGGGGAAGGCAGTTAACCGTTTCCAGGTGCGGCACATTCTCAGATAGGGGCAAATATTTCGAGTCTGACATTGTCCATGAGAAACAACAGGATTTCGGAGTTGGAGAACTGGAGAGGAGGTGGGGCATGGATTTGCTGTGTAACCTTGGACAAATTACTTTTGTGGACCTCACTCAGTTCACTCATCTATAACCTGTTGGGCCGGGGGAGGTTAGACTTGATTACCGCCGTGTTTATCTAGGTCTCTGATCCTATGATCCCATTCGCGAGGGCAAGCAGTGATTCCCCATAAGGATTTAGGGAACTGGGTCTTAGAGCCCAGGGCAGGACTGAACTGTAACCTCAACCAAGAACAGAACATTTTGACTAAGATCTGGTGCAGCCAGTGGAGAGTTTATCTTTGATCTTAATTTAAATTGATTTGCTACGATACGTGATTGACTTTCCCCTCCCCAGAGAAATGAGGTAGATTTTTAATATAAGTAGAAGTAGTTTTATTTTTCTATTAATCCAGGTCAGAAATGACATTGACATTAGAAATAGAATTTTCCCTGGGTTACAAATTGGGAGCTGTCTTCTGAGAAAAGCATATGACTCAAGCCTGTTTGCAAGTAAAAATATACTGTATATATATTTAATACACTTCCATGGCTGAGTAATTACATTTTCATAATAATAGTTTCCATTTTATAGGGGATTTATATATTATATATAAATATATAAGATATAGATATATATATGGCTGTAGGAGGAAGGGGGACCCACTCCCCCAAGAGTATCTTAGAGGTATATCTCATTTATCATTCATAGAATACTTCTAGCTTTCAAAACCATTCTTCAGCCTTGATATGTGAGAGTTTCCAAGCCCCTCTAAATGGCAGTGATATAAATGTCACTCACATGAAAGAACATTTTTTTCCTGTTACAGTCGTTGTAATTTTATAAAATGGCACATTTATTTGAAGCTGTAACTTTTTTGAGATATGGCCTTTTGCAAGCTCCCAAGTTTTCCTGAAAGCAATGATTTAGAAGTATGGGAAGCCAGTCCCCAAGAAGGAGGTACACCTGCCCAGCAAGCATGCCCACTATAGGAAACGCTGTGTCACAAACGGCAGGCGCACAGAGCATAGCACCTTTCCTGGTTGCCAGGATCACAGTCAGCAATTTGGAAGGTAGTCACCAAATGTTCCCTCCCAGTTACATTCATTCAGCACCTGACACCAAACTTCTAGATTTCTGCTAAGAACCAAACTGAATTCTTCAAATGAATTAAATATAACACTCAGCTCAATAATCATTGAAACCCTGTGATCTCCAAGGTATGTATGTGAGAGGCAGCTTGGCCTTGTGAATAGAGAGACAGCCAGCCTCAGGGTCCAGGAAAACCTGTTTTCTTGTTCCATCTTTGACAAATATCAGTCTATATAACCTCCTTCTGGCATTCATGGTCTCAGTGCCCCAGGCAAGTTTCTTAAGACTATTATAAACTGCAAAGCAGGTGCCAAAGGGCTTTGAAAGAGGGAGTTTCCTCACTTACATACCAATGAAATCACACACACAAAACACTGGAGATAGAAAGCTATTTAAAAAAAAAAAAGGAATCAGTCTCTGCCCTCAAAAAACAGATTTACTAAGGAGACACAGCCTTTTACTCAAGTAGATGCAAAGGAAGATGCAAAGGAAGATTTGTGTGTATTGGTCAGGTGGGGTGGTCAGTACAGGTTTTGTGTTGAAGATGGCACCTAAGCTTGCTTTGGGAAGGCCAGGCAGGTTGGTAAGCTGGAGTTGAAGCAGGAATTTATAAGGTTTTTATTTATAGGCTCATAATATTCTAAGTCTTGAGCTGGAAGGTACCTCAGAGGCCATCAACTCAATCTCCTCATTCTACAGATGATTAAAGTGAGGCCCAAGAAGACTGTGGCCTTCCCCAGACCACAGAGTTAGGCTGTGGGTAAGCTGTGGAGCTGTCAGGATGGCATTTGAAAACTCAGTTTCTCTGACTCTGCCACTTCTCTTTCTGCTCTGTGGCCTCTATCTTGTGCCTTCCTGAAAACAGCTAGAAGGCAATGTCATCGTTTTTCGTTTCTTAGGGTTAAAAAGAGACCTGAGAGGTCACTGACTCCATTCCTTGGTCTCCCAAAGACCTGTACTTCAAACCATCCTGGACTGATGTCAGCAAATCCTTTTAAAAAATCTGCTGAGTAAATAAATCCATAAACCCGTACAAGTGCAAATGGCAGTCTGGCATTGTCCACATTATCAAATTCTCCTCTTTTCATTTCAGTCTTAGCCAGTTGCTGTTTAAGGTCATCTCCCTTTGTATTATCTTTGGGTGGATGAAGTACCCTAACCTACTGACTCCACCTTGCTTTTGCTCTCCCTCTCTTTTTACCTTTTGTCTTCCCACATTAGAAAATAAATTTCCCCTTTAACCAGTCAACGTGTTTATTAATACCTATTATGTGCTAGGCACAGGAAATACAAGTACCAAGAATGAAACACTGTGAGCTTACATTGGGGGTGACCTCAACAAGTATGTATAAAGGAGGAGAGGAGGAAGGAATAAGCAATTTATATGGCACTTACTATGTGTCAGGCACTGTGCTAGGCACTATTTACAAATATTATTTCATTAAAAATATACAATATAAATAAAAAAGTTAATAAATACATATATGTATATATAAAGTAGATAAATGTGAGTCTGAGAGAGAGGTCACTAAGAAGTGGCTCAGAAGACGGTGTCTGAGTTTCATTTTAATACCTTCGTCATCGTAATCTGTACAATAACCTTTATTCTTATTGAAGATTTTCTTGGGAACATCTCTGCTTCCACGCCCTGGATTGTACTGCTCAGAGTGAGGTCACTTGCTAAACAACTACCGTTGTGTATTATTTTATCCTGCCTCAGAGGCTGAGAATGTGTCTGTGGATAATGAAAGTGAATTCACAGACATTTTAAATAACATGGATTTGATTTAATTCAGCATACATTGATTAAGTTCCTATAAAGTGCCAGGCATACAAAGGTGCAGGGGATGCAAGACAAAAATGAAACCATACCAAATGAAACCCTTTAGTAGGCTATTTTTGGGGGGAGTGGGATCTACATTAGTAAATTAAGTCAATTAAGTAAATACAACATATACAAAACAATACAAAGTAATTTCAAAACAAGACTGTGCTAATAACAAGAGAGTCAAGAAAGGCTACATGCAGGAGGTAGCACCTGAATTGTGCTGTGCTTTGAAAGAAGCTAGGGGTCTTTGGTCTGAGACAGATGGCACAATGACATCCTTCTATTAATAACTTGCTGGCTTTATTAATATAATGTTTAAATTACCCAGAAACTGTCTCTCAAAACGGTCTCTCAAAACTTTTTAATCATAAAAGTTATAGCAAAACACAAAGGGATCAGAGCCTTTTCACTCTAGATTCTTTTTTTTCCTTTGACTATCATACTTTATTTTCTTTCTGATAACACAAATATATAATAAAATAGAAGGTGTCCAAACAGATTTTAACAGGTAAGAAAAGAATACAGTTCCTGGATATCAAGCTGTCATTTATAAATTAACACAACAAAACATTATGAATTAATAACTCTTAATTGGATTACTTAAGAATTATAATAGGAAATCATCTATCAACAAATCAACAAAATCATCTATTTGATACAAAGCAAATAAGAAAAAGCCCCCAACATCCTAAGATTCTGTCATTATATTAGTTCTTCACAAGGTTTTAAATGAATATAAATCTGTAAACATGATGTAGCTCTTTCTGAACATTCGGTGGTACTTACAAATATGTTTGATTCTCTGCCAAACTATGCCGATTTAAAGTGTGACCACACAATGCACGCACACACATTTTGGGGAATACTTGACAAAGTACTAAAGTGTGAGATACCCTCCAGCTGGAGGAGGCCACATGCTGGGTCCCAGATAACAGGTTAAGCTAGTTCATAGTATTTCCTGGTCTGGGGATCAAAGCAGCAGTTTAGACATGATCATACAACGGAGGCAACACTTCCTCATCCTCTCCAGCACTTAGGTCATCTTCACCCTGAACATTCTAACTTCCTGAGGAATTCAGGTGCTCTGTAGGCTGCTGGCTAGGGGGGACAGTAGGGGGACTGAACACATTTAACCAATCCCGAGGGTTAGAAGGAGAAGGAGGATTCCTTTCTTCCTGGTCGACGTTCTTGCTACTGAAGCTGACATTACAACTGTAAACCTGAGACACACTCAGACCATGAGAGGCCCTGACACCTTCCAGTTCTTCAATCTGTGGCCTTCTCAGCCTCTGCAGCTCAGATTCACTCTTGTGGCTTGGCTGGTAATTTGCTGCTGTCGCATCCACAAAAATCATCTTCCAATAGGGTTCCTCTCCTCTTCCAACCGTCATCCTCCTTTAGATCCATCAAAAAGGAGCCCCCTTCTGCACACACTGACACCTTCTGTGAGGCAAGGACCCCGACCTTGAGGAAAATGTAAAAATCTCATTTGGAACACTCTAGGTTTCATCTTCTTGACTGCTATTTTCATTTTCTTTGATGTTTTCTGGCAACTAGTGTGAATTATCGCAGAAATCATCTTCCAGGCTTATGGATTGTTTGCTAGGGTCCAAAGGAAAATGACCTCTGCATTTTCAGGAAATACCCACTCATCTGTTTGATGAGGAGATGGTCACTGATGACTAGTGACATTTAATGTCACTTCGCTGTTAGT